TCTTCATGTTGTCAACTACATGTTTGTCTGTCTGTATCTGTACCTGCATTTACATTTAAATTTTAATTATTATTAATATTTTTAAATCACTTAAGTATCTATATATTATAGCATTAATTAATTAATCTATGTAAAATTAAGCTTTAATATTCAAGTAATTAACATAAATTTTCATCTTCTTTTCCATTTGAAATTTTTAACTTTTAAAATTAAAATAAAAAATAAAACGTATGTCTTTTGTGTATTCTACAAGGTTCCTACAATAAATTTTAATATCTAACAGTCGGATTTTAACAAAATTTGGCGAAACAAAAACCGAATTGATATAAATTTATAAGGTTTTATTTTGTTGCCTTTTAAGAGATCCCTGAGAATTCCATTAAATATTATTTGTGTTGGTATTTTATCTCCCGTTTTCTTTGATACTCTCTTAATGCTGAAGCAGCACTTTTACCATTGGCCAGGTAGCATTCAAACAATTTTAGCCGTTCATGAGCAGAATATTGCGGCATTGAAACCAATAAACTATTACTTATTCAAAATGCAAATAAAATATATGTTAACAAAAAACTTCTGAAGTTTTATTAAATCTGTTGAAGTGTGTAGTATAGAGTGGACTTTTTTCAAAATTACTACGTATTAATGGTCACCCAAAAGGTTTTATTCGAATATCTGGAGCACTGTATCTTTAAAAGAAGTATCATGTTATTGCTATTTAAAAAATACCTATTTCCAACAAGTGACCTAATGTGCTCTAAATTCATGAATTTACACGGGTGTTATCTTAATCCTGGAATATCTCAATGAGTAAGTAAAATTTAAATATAAGGTAAATTACAAAATTACCTTATTTTTTGTCCTAAAATTGATATCTGAATAAAAATATAGAGTGTTCCATTTGAAAATCTTTTGATTTTGTGAATTCAATTCGCCAAAACGGCACCAACTATTTGGGACACCATGTGGTTAAATTTTCGTTGCAATACTTGTCACAACCCAATTTTATATGGGGCAATCAACATACGAAAACAAAACACATAATCTCAATTTCTGCCTAAACTATACAATATTCGAATAGGAATTTCTTAAGAAAGTGACCTTTACTTTAACCAAGGATTCCAGAAATGTAAAAATATACAGGGTGTTCCATTTAAATTAACGAAGTTGATGTTGCGGGGGACACTTTTGGGACGTCCTGTATCAACGAAATTATAATATTTTAAATCTTCAGAAGCGTCCAAGAAATTTTTGTTCGAAACTTTTTTTCGTATCCTATGGGTTCTATGGGTTCTATGGGTTTTCATATCGTATAGTGTATCGTTTTATTTGGCACACGGTGTACGTCATCTTATAGTCGACACAGAAACAGCTGTCATAAACCAATAAATAACTGTGAAAATCTATTTTGTTCTAATTTAACACTTAATTCACTTAAGTTAACACTATATTCTTATTATAAAAATTGCGTTTTAACCTCATTTAGACGGGGACTACGCAATATTTCACCGGACCGCATAAAAATCCATTGTCGATTCATACGTCTCCTACTTGCATAATCGTGTCACCAAATCCCTTTAAAAACGTAGGGGCGTGATGCCTGCGACACCTGGCCGGCCCAGCCTGTTAAGTCGGGATGTCCTTCCCATTCAATTTTAACGTTTGACTTTTCGCTACACGTTTCCGAAATCAATTTATATATTATACGATCGGGATGTAACGTAGGTTTGTTCGGACGACGGGGGGTTGTTTTGTCGTTTAAACTGGCGCGTCGGATCGCCTTTTGTGTTACCCCGTAGCTGTTTGGTTTAGCCTGATTTATCGGTGAATAATTGATGTAAAGAAACCTCGCCTTTGCGCGTGCGCGCGCCTCTGTCTATTCCCGTAAATCCAGACTATAAAGTAGTTGTTAATTTAATTACCATATATCACGGAACAAAAATTCGTTAAGTTAACGAAATTTGCGATAGGGTCAAGTTCATTATCTCAACTGTTTGAAAAGATATGAGAAAATGATAATTACAATAGTTGTAGACGTTGTTATGATGCACAATTTAAAATTATTTTCAAAAAAGCGTGACGAATAAAGCATGCTATTTTTAAATCTTGTTTTGAATTCCTTTTAAAGCTCTTCAAACTTTTTTATTACTAATAATACATACCTAGTTTTCACACAAAAAAATTACCGTAGCACTAATATTTTTTCTACTCCCGTCTGTAAAATACCTAATTACCCATCGATCTAGCGTGCGGGAAGCGTCACTTTACCAAGTCAGTTTCGTTTCCCATGATTCCGAGCCAATTCGGACATTTCCGGGATTTTACCGCACGGATTTGGGAGCAATCGGATGTTTTCGGAGGTATTTCCCACGCTTTGAATTTTGACGTTTGTCAATTCTGACGGTAATGTCAGTGAATGTATTCGTGTTGTTTTGCGAAAATGTACCCAAAAACTAACGAATACTATGTATGCACTATTAAATACTCAAGGATGTCCAAAGTAAACGAATATATTAGGATCATTTTAAATTGAAAAATCTTGATTTTCTTAAAAGGCCAACCATATACACGGTGGGGACTTTTTAAATCACTTTCACGATGCCGACGAAGCATTGCAGAGCTTTCATGAAAAATTTTATGGCCTTTTTGATCGAAATGTACCTCTGTTTAAAAATTACACTCATTAATATAAAACAAAAAGAAAAAATACACAAAAAATACAAGAAAACTGGTGTTAGGGTCCGCTTAGTCGGGTTTCAAAGGCTAAGATGAAAAATCAAATTTCAGATCAAGACTGCTTATGGTGTTTACCTTGGTGCAGTGCAACAAGGTGTTTCTAACGATCCTCGTACTTTTTGGTCATATGTACACCAAAAAAATCAATCCACCCGAATCCCCGGTAACACGGTTTTCGACGGCAATGTCCTTGATGATCGCCTTTCTATTGTGGAAGCGTTTGCTACCTTTTATGAGAGTGTATTTCTCCCTTCTGGTCCTGAGCGCACTCTTTGTAACGTAGTAGATTTAAACCCAAGCACTATAAATTTCTATCCAATTACTGAGAATGAAATAATAAAGGCCGCAAAGAAATTAAAAAATAAAATGACCTCAGGACCCGATGGAAACCTTTTTTAGTAAAAGATTGTATTAGTGTCTATTCCAAGCATTTACTTAAAATATTTGACCTCTCGCTCTCCTCCAGAAATTATCCGCGATGTTGGAAGGAATCGAGGGTCTGTCCAATTTTTAAAAGTGTTGAAAGAAATCACGTAACCAACTATAGACCTATCACAATCTTATGCAATTTTTCTAAAATACTTGAGCTCATTCGGTGCGACCGTATTTTTAACTCTGTCAGAAGCATTATCTCTGCAAGTCTGCCAGGATTTTATAACACCCGCTCTACAGTTACTAATTTGGTACAGTTTACGGAGTATGCAGCAAAGGTGCTTGACAGTCAAGGACAAGTAGATGTTGTATATACCGATTTTAGTAAAGCATTCGATAAAATCAGTCATGCTGGTTTGCTTCAGAAACCTAAGCGTTTTGGATTTGCCGATGGTGCGGTGATGTTTCTCAGAAACTGCTCAAGTGACAGGACCACAGTACATATCCTACAATGGGTATGCATCTAATAGATATCTCACAACATCAGGGGTGCCACAGAGTTCTAACTTAACTTTTATTAATGATGTTATTTCAAATCTCAATGATACGCAGAACCTGTTATTTGCGGATGACTCAGAAATTTATACTTCCATTTCCAGTATTGCTGATTGTGTTACGTTGCCGAGATCAGTAGATATACTTCTTGGCTGGTGTGTCTCAAATGAATTGAGTCTTAACGTAGATAAATGTAAAGTTATAAGCTTCACTCGTAAGAAAGAAACTACCGATTTTCAATATAGAATCTCAAATATTGTTCTCCGACGTGTTGCAAAAAATCTCAGGGTCGACATTAAAAAAAATCAAAATGTCTCACGGGAGAATTGCCTTGCCCGGCTAGCAACCCGTGCTCCCAAAGGGAATTCGTAAATTAATATAAAAAGAATATTTAAAAAAACATACAAATTTAGATGCTATCCAAGCATCTTCTGTCTACGCACTGCTTTACGAGATAGAGTGAAGGTGGTAAAAAGAAAAAAAGTAACGTACCTTTGGTTTATTAAATTCGAAAGGAACAAAAAGACTAGTTTTATCACAGCTGAGTAGACGTTGCTGGAGATCTTAACATTTAAAAAAAATAATATTAATAAGCAACAAATTTGAATAAAAGAAAAATCCAAATGATGTTTGGGTGATCAAGAACTAATGGAACTGTTATGGCGAGTCGAGACGGCTAGTCGCGAGGCAGGACTGACCATTAACAGATTAAAGACAAAGATAATGATCACCGATCGCCCAAGAAATAGCAGGCCAGCGGTTGCCAAAGAAGCCATGGTTATGTTGAGCAGGATCTGGAAGAGTCTAAACATAGCCCTGTCTACAAAGATGAGACTCTTCAAAACCTTTGTATTCTCAGTCTTACTTTATGCATCGGAGTGCTGGACACTCAAGGAAACAGACAAACATGCTATGGATCCTTTTGAAATGTATTGCCGGCGAAAGATGCTGCGCATATCATGGACACAAAGAAGAACGAACGAATCAATTTTAAACCAGTTAAAAATTAAAAAAAGACTCCGCACAATCGCCTCCGAACGAATTACTTCCTTTTTTGGACATGTCGTCGTGGAAAAACTCACTATTCAAGGGAAGGCGCAAGGAACGAGAACGCGAGGAAGATCTCCAAACAGAAATGTGGACCTCATTGTCAAGGAAACCGGAATACCGCTCAACGAATGCTTTAGAGCCGCTGAAGACAGGCGGAAATGGAAAGACCTAACAGATCACAGATCATACTCTGTATATGAAACATATCTAGAAAGTTCCGAGGGATTCAGGAATATACATAGTGTTCTGCTAAGACGCCTATTACAGAAAATCCAAACTACAAACTGGCTGTCAATTTAATAACGATAGTAATGTTGGTTTACAAAATATGCAAACGCCGACTCCGGTTGAGTTACCACACCCATTTATTGTCTTTCGAGGCGCCTTTCTTGGGCTTCTTGTGGAGTTCCACCTCCATGCCCGCTCCGGTAAGAGGATTCCTCGTCATCGCCGATTCCGAAATCAAGTGTTGAGCCGGAAGAGATGTGGGTTCCGGAGCTTTGCAAAGTCCCGACTCCACTTTGTCCGGTAGACGATGAATATCTTCCTTCCTCGTCTCGTCCAAAATATTCTTTTCGATCTGGTCGCTAGTGTCTGGTTTCGACCTGTCAGTTCCCATTATATCCTCCCTTTGTCTCGCAGAAGTGGAACCGTATTCGAAAGAGGACCCCGCATGCAGATCTCTTCTCATTCGGTTCTGCCTCAACGAACACTGTCCGTTGACGGATATTATTTGTGTACCGTTCGAATTATCCTCGTCCAGATCTTTCAAGCAGAATATATCACTAGAGTTGTGCATCTTGTGACCTCGCGTGATCATTCGATGCCACGGTGACAGTAATTTGACGTTACATTTCACCGCACCTGCCAATAATTGGCATTAAAAAATGGTGGCAGCCAGAACTCAATGTATGACTCGCATTTTCGCAAACCATGCCGAGTGGAAGGAACATTTATTGAAGTCACACAAGAACAAACAGACGAAGCTCTTAAAGTATAGAAAAAGAATAGAGCTTCTTAAATATGAATGCCCCAAACCCTAATATCAGCTCAGTAGTCAACAAAAAGCGACATCTGGAAAACTGGATGTATTACCCCTATTTATAAAAAGGGCAGAAAAGAAACATGCTCGAATTGAAGATGCATATCAGTAACTAGCACAATCAGCAGGTTATATGGTAAGATACGGAAGACAATCATAATCATCATCCGCCAACCTCTTTGGACGTAGGTCTCCTCCATCTCCTTCCACGGGATTCTGTTTTGTACCTTCTCCTTCCAATTTCCCTCTGTTTTTCTCAGGTCGTCTTCCCATCTACCCCGATTTCTCTTATTTTTTCCGAGTCTCCATTCTATCAATCTTTTGGTCCACCTATTGTCGCTCAAGTGCGCTATATGACCAGCCCATCTCCATTTGTCTTAAGTAGTTTTTTGTTATTTTAGTTCTTTGTTTCACTAGCCTGATTGGTACCACGTCTCTTCTTGTAATTACGAGCATAACTCGTTCGATCTTTCTTTGATTTACTATCAACTTATCGGCGGACTTAGTCAACGTTAGCGTTTTCGTCCTGAAAGGGTTAAAATTATTTCGGTCAATTATCTGCTATTGCTAAAGAAGGATTAATTTCGGGAAACCCACTTAGTCCACTACTAGCAGAAATTTTCATGGACAATTTAGAAAATATCATACATAAACATCCTCTGAGTAAAGGATTTCTCTGGTGGTATAGATAGGTACATGATGGTTTTGCTTAGGAGAACCTAACAAGAAAATTTCGAAGCATCTATCTAAATTTGGCATTAATATTGCTTTTAAAACCGAAAACACCATAGGATATTTTCTAAAAAAACAATAAAACTAAATTACGAAAAACTCAGAAATCCGGAGTCTACAACTTGAAATGTGGATCTTGTCCAAAAATTTATATAGGACAAACAGGTAGAACATTTAAGAAACGCTTTAACGAACATAAACCAGCGTATAAAAATAAGCATACATTAATATTCCAACGTGCCGAGCGAATCATAACGCTTCGGCTAGTTTTGACTATGGCGCCAAGTTCAAACCGCAAACCGAATCGGAGATGTTGGCATCCGCATAGCCCTCTTTACTTTCATGACAGATTGGAGAACGCATGTCGCATAAGTATGATCTCTTAAATTATTTGTTGTTAATCATTGACCAAGTAAACTGGTTAATGTGCTAATTCTATTTAAAGTTTATACAATAAAACTGACAATGTGTTTATACTGCTTTTATTTGTATTTTGAGGGTAAATTGACTTATAAAATAGGACAATAAAATTTATTTGCATCTTATATCATACAATTATTATTTATTAATTAAAAACTATGCAATAAATAAAACACTGATTAAAGTATGCAATTATCTAAAAAATTAAATATTATATGAAAATGAAAGGTTTATAAATAGTAATTTTACTTTTTATTAGGATAATATGTTTGCTTCTCAATTTTTCTTTTTTTCGAATTTTCCTCAGAATTTCGTTGTTCTGTGTGTCCTAAAAATATCCACAAAACTCCCAAAAGATTCTTCGTCCAAGCTGCGAGCAAAGCTATTCATGTCTTGCAAAATGACCTGTAACACAAATCGACAATTAAACGCGTAATAATTGTAGGCTTAATTCTTTCAAACCTGTCGCCTATCTTCAAATGCAACAGTGTCTACATGGAGATCGGGCTTCGTTTTCTGAATAAAATGGGTAACATCATCTTGGTGATGTACCCGGCTTGTTAATGGCTCATCAATATGCTGCTATACGATTAAACGCGATATCAAACGAAGCGCGCTTCGGATTACATTGATGCTCCTGCCCTCTGATTGGCTCGGCACCTTGGAATATTAACGTATACTATAAAAATAAAAGTTCGGTTTCTAACTATGACATTCGTCTAAATTTAGAAATGCACAGCTTTGACGATCGTTCTGATATATTACATAATCATTCAAAAAGCAAAAAAACTAAATTTGTTTTTAGCTATTGGATTAAAATGCGTCTCCGTTGTTAAATTTGGATTTATAACCCTATAAATGTAATTTTTATATATCAGTGTTTTTATATATAATACATGTTTTTAAATATAAGTGTCGGAATATAGTCCATATTTTGTATTTGATAAAGGCACGGTGTTACCGAAACAGCCATCATAAAGCACTCTGAAAATCTGAACATTTTTTGTTCTAATTTAATTTGTGCAAAAAAATTCTCCCGGTGGATTCCACAACCCTAGTATTAAGTACGAGGTTAACGCCAAAATTTCCCGGCCTGACATAGATGCAGCTCCAGTATCACGATAAAAATTGATGTCTTGCGTCAAATAGTTTTTTATTGACAGACGTGTTCGAAAAAATGTCGCAAATAACGCAAATTGAGTATAAAGCAGTCATAAAGTTTTTGACAAAAGAAGTTGTGTTTCGTATTCTGTAGTAAAACAATGGGCAAAACATATTCGAATGAGGCAGGAGTCCCTTGAAGATGATTCAAGAACTGGTAGACCAGTGGAGGTCATAACGGAAGATATTGTTGCGATTGTGGTACTGGTGGTATTCAGTCATCGACGTTTAAAGGTCAAAGAAATCTCAGAAATTACTGCATGATCATTTATTTAGGTATGCATAAGGTTAGTGCAAGATGGGTTTCTAAATACCTTTCGGCTATTCAAAAACAACGTCGTGTCGAGTGTACGCGGTCTTTTTTGGAACTACGTGGGTCGGAACCGAAGCCCGTGATAGAAACTATTGTGACGGGAGATGAAACTATGGTTCTTTATTATGACCCTCTATCGAAAAAAGAATCAATGGAGTGGCGTCGTAAGGGTGAAGCACCTCCAAAAAAATTCAGAGTCTGCGAGTCAACAAAAATGGTGATGGCCACGATCTTTTGTAATTGTGAAGGAATACCTTTGATAGATTTTAAAGAAACTAATACCACTGTCAATGGTAAATATTACGCAACATTATTACATAAAATGGGACACTGCATACGTGCAAAAGGTCGAGGAAAACTGAACAGAGACCTGCGTCTTTTGCACGATAATGCACCTGTCCACACTGCTGGTGTTGCACAAGCTGCATTTTAGGGTGTGGGTTCCAACAGATAGATCATCCTCCCTATAGCCCAGATATGGCCCCCACCGACTATTATTTGTCTAGATATTTGAAAAAGGACTTGCGTGGACGACGGTTTGACGACGAAGTTGAGTTAAAAGAGGCTGTTTTAGCTCATTTTGCAGACAAACCAAAAGAATATTTTTTTAAAGGGATTGAGTTGTTATTAAAGAGATGTAATAAGTGTATTGAAGTTAAGGAGGATTATATTGAAAAATAATATAAAATCGTTACTCTACTTTGTTTTTTTCATATTCAGGCCGGGAAATTTTGGCGCTGCCCTCGTATATATCTCTTATTACTTTCTCTATTGTACGATCCTCGGTAACCCCGCTGTTTGCTTACGCGTGCTTTTTCGTACATAAAAGACGCCATTAATTTCGTGGTGGCGAATGTAATCCTCCACGCTGAAAAAGTTATATAAAAAGGAAACAATGGCTCTCCGTATTTACGCAGTCAACAAGTTGTGTTCCCGGGCAAATAACTAAATATTGGCCCGTCCCGGCACTGGCGTTTGATCTGTTCAAATTTGAATTTAAGATTAAATTTGTTAGACCTACGACCCACCTGTCAACACCGCGATCAAATATTGTTATTTTCGCGAGTTGTTTATCGACGCAGGTAGACATTTTTATAATTTGCCTTTCGGGGGACTGGGGATCGATATACGGTGTGTCCAACGTCAGGATAAATTGGGAAAGGTTTAAGGAATTTGATGTGAAACTTAAACCCGTCCGCAAAACTGGTTAGGTTTTCTATTTTTGCCTGTAAAGCCAAACATGAATTATTGAAAGATTTTTTTAAGAGCAATATTGACGTAAAGGACAACACATTGTGCCAATTAAATTTTCTTATGGGCGCCATATTGAATATTTTGCAATACTAAATAGAAAGTAAAAATTACTTTTAAATGATGTATCACTCGCATGATACAATAAAAGGTAAAAAGCAAGTTGCTGTTATATTTGTAGAAACCACATATGCAGACACATATAAAAAAATCGTTACGTTTTGCTTTATAAAATGTATTATAAGTTTTATACGTCATTGCAAAAATATATATACTTGGATTGTTCTTTTAAACCCTTCTATTAACGAAAAACCAATAAAACTATCAACTGTAATGCTAATTAAGGATTAATAAAGGATGCCTTGCTCACTAAGGCAAAGTGGGGCTCTAATGACAAACGTAACCTTCCGCGCAACACCTTATATCTATATAAATACACATATCGAATACGTAACACTGGGATGCCCCTTTTTTTAAGTTAGAGTTAAGCAATAAAAGATCTTAGGTGCTTTTTTCACAACTAGCCCTTATTCTTATGCTTCATGCTTTCGCCCAGGATTGTAGGCTTCATCAGGAAGAAAAATGTGCAGTTAATTTAAACTCTAAATTATCAATCCAAAAGCAAATGGCCGGCATGTTCTTGTTCTTAAAATTTTCGTTATTATTTAAAATACACCGATAAAACTAATAGACAGTCATCATTACATTACAATTTAAAACAATAACACACACATAAAATATTAACGCCATGTTAACAACAAATTTTTCCAAGTCGGAATCGTTGTTGTTAACATGGCGTTAATATTTTAAACAAACAAAAAACTATTTTTAATCTGTTATCATCCCTCTTTGTGTTGTTGTTTTAAATGGTAATTTAATGATGACTGTCTATTAGTTTAA